TCTTCCGCCTTGACTGTTTTCAGCTTCAGCAGATTCTGCTTGGCTGAGCAGTTGGCGTTGCGTTTGATAGATCTTTAATATCCAAAGTGGATATTCAAGATCTTGGAAGCAACACATCTCTCAAAAAAGATAGAGAGAGTGTTGTTCCAGAGAAGGTGTATGGTCTAATACTGAAAAATACGAGATTTCCACCATAGACCTTCTCTACTGCCGAGATTTTCACCATAGACCTTAAAAGTCTTTTCTTCTCAATAGGCTTCTTCCATTGCCGTCTATCAGGGTGAGAAAGAAAAGTTTCTCCATTGAGGATATTTTTCTTGGTGTATTCCTTAGACAGTGAGTTTGAAGACTTTTCATATTAGGAGAGTTGTTTGTGATGAAAGTGGATTGAGATATCTTGATTTAAATAGGGGAGGAGGAGTTTCACGGGTTCCATTAAGTGGGTAGTTGGAACGGTGAGAGTAAATGAGTTTCAACTTCCAAGAAGTTGAAAAGTAGAAGGAATCTTTTACCAGTTACCAAGGAATGGAAACTGTTTTAATTAGAAAATCAGTTTCGATTGGTTTGAGAAATGTAACTGTTCTGGTTTGGCTAAGCCCAAAAGAGTGGCCCAAAAAGAAAAGAAAGCTATGTACTAAAGGGAAATTATTCCTATTGGGTTCTCAAGGCCCAAAATAAGACTATCATTTTTCATTCCCTATAGTTCTAATTTCTACTTAGGACGAGGTAGCACCAAAACAAATATGAATATTTAAAAAGAAAAATGGTACTATTTTTCCAAAGTCCTGTACATTTTTAAACATCCTAGGGACCAGTACTTTTAGAGCTGGTTGGAAATGAATTAAGGACTAAAGCTTAGTTTAAGAAGGCAGATTTTGTAAGGTACCTGAATAGGAGATTTCCAAAGATTTCCAATTTTAGTACCAAAACTGAGATATCCGTCTTCCATTGCTTTGAGCTTATCGATAATTCATTGCCAAAAACAATTGTTAGCCAAAACTAGTTAAGTTCCCCCTGAATTACATTCCCCCTGAATGTATGCGCTTCAGAAAAATAATTAAGACAAAATCATACTTGAGATAAGCATAATCAAGCATAATAAGCGCAATTAAGGCATACTTAAGAAATGTTTAAACCAATCAAGTAATGTTTAAACAAGAAGGTGTTTTCATCAAAACAAATGTTTTCACATACTTTCCCCCTGGTTTGATGAAAAGAACCTTCAGTTCCTTTTGCGTTTTGAAGATCCGGCAACCTCACTGAGGCCCTGCATGTTCCCACACAGTTCTTTGATGCGCCTTAAATTTTCACGCCTTTCCTCTGATTGAGCAGCATCTGAGAAGTGGTCAGCAACTGCACCTATAAATTCTGTTCCATCCAGTCCTGAGCTGGATAGGTGCTGTGCTGAGTTTTCCGGATTTCTTTGCTGTGCTTCAAGGATCAGATTAGTCATGTTCAGATGAGAAGGGACATAAGATGCTTCTCCTTCGTTGACTGCAATAGGGAGCTGTGGTATTGGGGATGGACTGTGTTGTTGGAGAATTACTTCCATCTTGCGGTTCCCAGAATGTGCACCAATAAGTCTGAACAGCTTGTATGCTTCCTTTTGATTGTCAATGATCACCTTCAAGTAGTCTTTGGTTACTACCTGATTTGCTGAAGCTATCGCTAGGGCTGATCTGATGTCCATTTGGAGAAGGGACATCTGTTTTTGTAGACTAACTGTAACATTTGCTATTTGCTCCTTGACTTTGTTGAATTCATTGAATTGCAGTTGACTGTCAGAGGTGTATATTTCCATCGTATTGCTCACAGTTTTACTCAATAGAGAGATGATCTCTAGAGTCTTTTCTACTGATTTACTTATCTCCTTGAGATCAGCGCTGTGTTTCTCTTCAGATTTTTCTATCAGCTCAGTGTGTTTGGCTTCCATTAGCTCTATTTCTTGCCTAAAGGAGGCATGTTGAGATGCTAGGGCTGACTCAATTAGCCCTTGTACCTTCTTTGTCCAGGTTTCCGGTATCTCATCCAGAAGAGTAGGAATGGAAGAGCTATGGAAGTGAAAATTAGTTACCTGATGAGGAGATGATGTCCTTTGAAAGAGTTGCAAAGGAAGAGATTCAGCATCTTCTTGCACATCTTCTTCATCAGTGATCTTTAGTGTCCTATCAGATTCGCCTTCTGCATTATCAAGTTCAAAATTTGATATGTATCTGGAGAGGGAGTCACTATCTCAGCTTCATTTGGTTCTTCAAAAATGGCTATTGGAGTTTGAGAGACCTCCTCTTCTGCCATCTGAGATTCCTTCTCAGCTTTTCCAGAGTGCCTTTGGACTTCTACTTCTTTCTCCATAATTTCTGGAATAGCTGACTGTTCCGGAATTTTTGCTGACTTTTCCAGAATCTCAAGTTGTGTCTGATTGGAGATCTCACAAGGAGTTGTGAGGATCTCGAGCACTTGAGATTGGATCAGTCGCTGAAATTCTTCTTCTTCAGTTGCTTCCTGGTTCTGCTCTTGTGGGGGAGAGGCTGCCTTCTCTTGATCAGTTTCAGTCAAAACCATTTCAAACGCAGGTGAGGTTTCCGGAAAGATAGGGAAATCCTCAGCTGTTGTTTCCAAAACAACTATTTCTTCAGAAGTGGGAGCCATTTGATCTTCTGTGGCTTTTGAGAAGACTGGCTTGTAGACTGCAGTATCTTCATCATCTGCTTCAAAGTCTGAAACTGGTGTAGTGGCCAAGTGTTCCAGATGCAGATCCTCATTGTTCCTTTGCCATACCCAGTAGTCATCCAAGATGTCTTCATAGCAGTGGTTGACTGGTAGTCCTAGGCATTTCTTGATAATCTTTTCATTCTTCAGCTGTTGGTCCCAATCCAACAGTTGCTCTTCTGAATTTCCAACTTTCCAAGCTCTCCAATTATAGTAGAGCTGCCAGAATTTGTTGTCAGCATCATCTGTATGAGGCTGAGATGAGGTTGGAAGGCTTTGGACTTGAGGGATTTCTTCTTCAAATTGTTGAGGGCTC